ATGACGGACAATGATTTCAAGACCGCATGCAGTTGATCAACTCAGCGCTAGCGAAGTGGCAAGCTAGACCGGCCAGCGCTGCACTAAGGAACTAGCGTGAGACTGTGTACACACGAACCACTCATGCTGCCACTGCCGGTCTGCAAAGAACGTCGACGAGTCGCATACATACTCTGCCCTAAAAGTGGATTATTACCGAATTCAGATCGTTGCCAGCGTTTCAGCCTTCGACGTCAGCACAGCTGAGTTTTCTATAGCATTCAATCAAGGCAGAAGAATGCGGGCGAACTCAGGTTGCAGCCCGTTTTGAAAACATAATGCGGTACATTACAGAACCTCTTCAGCTGAGAAATGGTAGGAAGGCTGCAGTAAGACGGCGTGGCATGAGCTACCTAGCTTCCACTGCAAGGTAGCTAAGGCAGCTTCCGGCCAGCTATTTTCTCCCAAAAACGTCTTCAATTTAAGACCGTACTAAAAAGAACTAGGTAGTCGGGCCAGAAGTCTTCCTGTCGAACAGCTAGGCCGTTATCACAGGATTAGCACTGTCAGGAGGGGTACCATGGCCCGCAAAGCCTTCCGAGCTTCAAGTTAATGGCCCTTGAATGTTTTGTCTTGATAGGACGTGCTGACGTGCGCTCAGCAACAGGGACCAAAGCGTGTCCTTGAGTTGGGACCACGGATCCTTCTCCACTAGCGGTTTGAGCTACCTTATTCTGACGAGATTCTCATATCTTGCACTAGAGGATCAACTTCTTGCAAGGGGTACGATTATCTGGTCCATTAGTGTCGTGACCCCAGTGTTCAAAGCGCGCATGCAGAGAATCTCCTGCCAACACCCTAATTGGCAGCACCTCGGCCACTTCGGACGCTCTTAACCGCGCAAGGACCATTGCACTCCCCTTTCAGGGCTTTCCGGCTGTTCCTTCTGCCGCCATTCAGCCAGCAACCTGTTGACGCGCACGTGAACTGATCAGTTAGCGTAGACCTGCATCGCCTGATGCTGAAGCTGGCCAAAATGTACCGGCGCTTTGGGACCAGGCTGTTTGGATCTCCGGGGGACAAGAAGCTGGTCTTCACCTTCTGCGCATTCTTCTTCCTTAATGCGGTTCTGCAAGGCTTCCTTGCCGGGTTCCTGGGCGCTGTTATCAGCGCGCCTCCCTCATCAAATTGCCTCCATTTGGCGCAGCTCGAGTCAGTTTCCCGAGGGACGGTTTTGAGAGGCGGGGAATCAAAGGCTCTGCGTATCGCTGTTGTTAGCTCATACCCGCCGCAGGCTTGTGGAATTGCAGAGTTCACAAGGGATTTGCTTGTGAAAGGGTTTCAGAAGACTGCTCTAGCGGAGTCCAAAGTGGAGGTCAGCATTGTTGTGATTGATGAGGAGAACACGGAGCGGGCATATGGGCCGGAAGTGGCGGCTGTTTTTAGGAAACACGTGGCTTCAGATTACGTTTTAGCCGCAGATCTTCTCAATTCTGATTTTGATGTCGTGAGCCTGCAACACGAATATGGCATCTTTGGCGGGGAGTGGGGCGAGCTGATCCTCCTCCTGCTTCAACGGCTCTCAATACCAGTGGTCACAAACTTCCATACCGTCCTTCCAGATCCCACAGTCCAGTCCCGCAAGGTCCTCATTGAGATCGCCCATCTGTCCAACATGGTCACCGTCATGCTCCCATCGCTCTGCGAGCACTTGAATCTGCACTACACTGAGAATATCACGTGTCTTTTCATGCCTCATGGAGCGCCGTTGGAGGAGCAAGGGCATCCCCCAGATCTCGAGGCGCTTCGTATATCCAGTGACAGGAGTATCATCCTGTCGCCTGGACTTCTGTCTCCCAACAAGGGCATTGAGTCTATGATATCTGCAATGAGCACTTTGCAGAAGAAACTTCCCAAAGCACTGTACGTGATCGTTGGGAGGCAGCACCCTGGGTTGAGGGGAAGAGACTATCTGGGAGAACTGCGCCAGTTGGTGCAAGAAATGGATTTGGAGACCTCGGTACTCTTTGTGCCTCTGTACCAGACGAAGGAACAGCTGATTGGCTGGATCTCCCAATCTCATATTGTAGTGACCCCCTACGAAGATCGGACTCAGGTGAGCAACTCACGACTGGCCCCTCTGCTATCTCCAATGGGTCTAAGGTGCTGTCCCTGTAGCTCGCAATCTGAAACTCAAATCGTTCATGAGAGAACCTTAGGAACATACTCTTGACGAATCACACAAGATTGTCGGGACGCACATCTGTCTCGGAAAAGTTTCTATTCTGGTGGCTATCAATCAACGGCTGCAGATTTGCCCTCGATTTCGTGCATTCGCTCCTGTATGGATGGTACATATCCAGATCGTATCGATCACATCAGGATCTTCCGTGAAAAGCTTTCGGTGGACCAGCCTTCGACTGAGTTATTCACACAGTTGTAGCTGACGTTGCAGCTAGGTGATGCACCGATGCTTTATTCTCCCTTAAGTTTCAACACCTGCTCTCACACTGAGTCATGCACTGGAAGATTTCAACCTTTTCTTCTCTACTTACTCTGCAGGTTAGTTCTGGCACCCTTTCGATGACTGTCGGTCTCGGGCGGGTCGCCGTCACCACCGCCTTCCCGTACGCCCAGTGGCTCTGCCGCGCCGTTAACGAGATGGCCGCCACAGCCGTGCAGCCGTGCATGACCGTCCCCTTCGCGGAGGACCTCGGCCCGGAGCTCGCATCAGCGTTGCTTGCTATCCTGGGTAACGACACGCTCCAGCAGGCGATGCGGGGCGCAGCCTTTGAGCACGGGCGGCGGGCGCAGTGGACCAGCGTTTCGAAGGAGTGGGTCGACTTACTACGGCAGGCGGCAGTTCGAAACCGGGCGTCTTTGCTGGCACGAAGGGGAGAGTGGGCCGCGCTAGCAGCGTCCGCGTATGAGGCAGGCGCCGTGAGCGATCGGCGTTTGCACAAAGTTCCGGTGTCCCCAACCGACGGGAGGGTGATGAAGGTCTGGGCGAGCGACCTCGCTCGAGATGTTATAATGGGCAATCGGAAGGCGGAGGAGTCGGCCAAAGTCCTCTCGGACCTGACATTGGGCCCCTTACGATTTGCGGCGCGCGTTGATTCTGACGAGACGGAGTGCATGGCTGAGACTGGCGGCCTTGGGTCCTTCTTCACAAGCAACGGGATAGCGGCTTTTCATGGTCAGGTGAGTGGCCATGACAGCTTGTTTCCAAGTTCCGTCTCAAAGAGTCGTGTTTAGACGAAGCGCAACTGAAAAGCTCGGGAAGAGAGAGCACTTCGCGTCTACGGGTAAGGAGACCCAAAAATTGGAAGAGCACAAAGACGTGTTTTTGGCAGGTTGTGACAGGAGTGCTTGCACTTAGAAGCCTCGTTTGAAACAGCTAACTGAATTCAGGCACGTCTCTCAGTGGAATATATCGAGGCGCGTGGAGCGCTTACCCGGCAAACGCGCTAAACAGCTCCAAATAGATTCTAACAAATGTCAACGCTGACCGTTAATTGTGACTTCAAAGACGTTGCAAACTAGCTGACGTTGATGCAAGGTTGGACCAAAGCAGTCCTTTGAATCCCTGACTCAGTGATCTTGGCACTCCTGATGCTGATGTCTGAGCTTATTCTTTCTCGTTCTTGCGGCAGGTCCGAAAGGACGACTACGTCTTTCTCCACACCCTGCCCGACAAAGGTCTGCTGTTAGGAAGCGGGTTGCGTTATGGCGGTATGTTCGTCAACTATGTGATCGACGGGGATATGACGGGGGAGCGCGCTTATCCTGCGGAGTGGTCCTTCTCGTGCCAGGGCTCCAATAGCGTATTGAGGATGAAGAGCGTTCTGAAGCACCCTGTGAAGAGCAGCGTAATTGTCGGGGAGGTGGATATGAGCTTCAACCTGGACGGTAGCACGTCGCTCCTGACGTGGACCGCTCGCGTGAGGAGTTTCGAAGATTGCCTCGACAACGTCGAGGTGCAGTCCGCAATGGACGGGATGTCGACTCTGTTCGAGAACCTGCACTTCAACCAGTTCTATGCAGTGTCCCCAACGGACGGCATCGTGGGCGTCAAGAGTGCGGTCGAGGATATTGAGCTGTACAACCAGGAACTGGACGGGCCGCTTGCCTGGGACGTTTTCACCAACAAAGAAGGGGAGTTCGCGCTTATTACTGTGATCAGGAACCAGACGACTCTGCGATATATTACTGGCCACGACCCGACTAATGAGAACTTCCATTATACGGTCCACAGGTACCATGTCGGGAGCATCTGCCCTTGGGACCCGCCGCTTATAATCGTCGAGGACAGGATCATACTGCATAATATGGATCTGGATAATGTAGAGAGCTATGCTCAAGTTATTGACAGAATCTCGGAGCTGACTGGAGTAGACGTGTCTGGTCCCGAGAATAAGGCGCTTGTGGAAGAAGCGTTCCAAGTGCTAGCCTACCATACCAGTACAGCTTCTATCTAGATATTTAGGTGATCGAAAGGGTACAGCCGGATTAACCGTCTAGAAGCATTGATAAAGCGGACAAAATTGATTGGGGTTGAAGGCGGTGGCTCAGAAGTGACAAGAATTGAACGTGGAGTATAGGGATGTACATTAGCTAGCTTGCTAGCCGCCGTTACCACTTGATTAAGTAAACAGATTGACTGCCATTGAAAGGGCTCATCAGTACAGCGGTATCTTATTGAAAACGCGTCGCTACCTTATCCGAAAGCGGCTGCCCTAGTTTAGGCGATCGTCTCAGTCTGGCATGGCGAGTCTGCCATGCTGATTAATTAAAGGTTGTAAATCATTCACTAGATGCCCCGCAATATGCACCAGTGCACTACTCGGAAACGGATTTGCCGTTATTCGCGGAATCGTTCATCGAGCTCTTGAAGGACCAGGGAAGGATCAATTGCAATCTCGATGAAGCCCTCCACTAAGTTTGGGAGCCTTACAATTCCGACCGATGATCGATGCGCGTGAAACCTGGGACAAGGACTCAATGCAAAAAGGACAATCCAATCGATTGACAGAGTCTGCACCCAATCCCGACCAGAACGGCCGGAACTAGGTTCATCATGACAGGTACTCACCAACCGTCGTTTCTACTATATCACTATAAATCTGGACACGAATTAAGAGCGGCCGTTTTAAGAGCGGCGCCGGTCTTAAACATTGTCCGCATTCAGACCGGCGGCGCTCTTAAAACAGCATCGCTTTAAGGGCGCCGTCGCTCTAAATGCACATGCTGAAATTAAGGACGATTTTGGCTGAAATGTCCGGTTTTCCAGTACGAAACATACTGAAAACGCGCAAATCAAGTGCGCTAGGAATCTTAAACGAGGATCAGACGGAGTCGGGTGTTATTAAGTGCGCTACCGTTGTCCTGCCTTGCGGAATCTTCTATTCACTGTTGGGTCCGTCTACAATAGACTCTTCCGCTTCTAATGACCCTGATTACAGCGAGGCAATTACACGAAGACTAGGGGCTGCTACTGTGCTGCTATACTCTGCACGTTTTTGTACGTTGACCTCGCCTCGACTTCAGGCTTGCCATGCCACACGACTTGCGATGCTTGGGGAGAGTACTTTGACTTCTCATCCTTGCTGATGCTCAGTACCACACCTCGCCGTCCGCATTCGTTGGTATACCGAACTGCAGAATGAGAAATTGCGTCCGAGAGCAGTCAATGCACGTCTGACGACAGATATATACGGAGTTTCGTGCGTGCGGACGAGCGCGACGTGGACGCATCTTTGAAAGAAGTTCCGCTCTACCACCGCCGTCCGGCTTCTCGCACCTTCAATACTGCGCGAGCAAAGATGATGTCAGCAGCTGCTGCTTTGCAATCCTGCCATGTTCGTGCACCCCAAAAGAGGCGCGGCCCAAAAAACCGGTCCGACTCTGCTCACGGCCGCCGCGGATGCAGAACTGCGAGAATGCGGAAGATGACGTCAGCAAAGGCGAAAGTATTAGAGTCGAGCCCGCTCGTGTTTGCGCGAACGCGGGAGGGGATCGGCCCAGGAAGACGTCCTGCTCCACAGCATCTGCCGCTTGCGGCTGCAGAATTGCGCAAAACGAAGGTGACGTCAGCAAGCGTTCGAATCGTTCCTTGCTTGCGCTCGCGCGTGGGGGGCGCGGCCCAGTAAGACGTTCTGCTCCACGGCCACCAATCGCTCGCGCTCGGAGGACTGCGCGAGCGAACATGACGTCAGCAAGCGCGAACATATCAAGAACATCTCGGTCTAGCATTCCCGAAGTTGCGCGCGCACGGGAAATAAACTACGGCCACCGGCTGCTCCCCAAAGTTTTCTTCTCGCAAACGCACGTGACATCAGCAAGCGCGAGTAAACCAGTGAAAGTTTCTGTGGAACCTTCAGGCAGACAAACACTGCTGTGTACCGCAATCTTCTGCCACCTTTCTTAGCTGGATGCACGAAAACCTGGCGACTACGGGTAGAACAGCTAAAGTCTTGTCAGAAATTGTCGAAGGCTGGTAAAGGCAGGATGGCAGCATAAAGCGAACCGACAATATCAAGTACCGGCAAGAAAGAATGCTTTGTGAATGTCAAAAGAGCAAGCAAATGGCAATCTGGTAATGCATCGACCGCGGGGGCCAAGGTGAGCTCAAGAATGCTCTCGAGCTTACTTTCAAGTGGTTCACGAAACGGACTCCAGTGAGAAGAAGCTACGACCTACCTGCACTCTCATTTGCCGCCTTTTCGAGGCTTTCCTCGACCGCGGCGCTGGATCTCGGCGTGTTTCTTGGGCGAATCGATCACGTCCGTCTTCACCGGCAGACATCCTACCGTGAGCGTCGTTCCGCCGGTAGTCGGCTCCACTGCGGTGTACCCCTTGGGCACGTTACGCCGGGCTTGCGACGTGTCAGTCGATTCGACGAATACCCCAAGGTGCTCGGGTCCCAGAGGCTCACCATTCACCAGATCCCTCGCCTTGGTATAGTTGACTTGAGCCACGCCAACAGGCTGCAGGGCACCGTGAATAACATTCTCAGCGTTCGGACGCTGCTTCCGGACATTCAAAAGGGAAGAGCGGAGGACCGTGTTTCGTCACCAGATTGATTAGAGAAACTACCGCAGGCGCAACACCAATGACTACAGCCGCATAAATCCAATGTCCAAGGATTCCACGCTTCACCGTTAAAAAGAGACGCTTCGAAGAAAAGGACCCTGCTTCCGGAACTTCCCAAGGAAAGTTGCTGCCAGCAAACAGAAGCCGTACTCACGACGACAGCGGCAAGTACTCTGAATTTTGAAATGGAGACAGCCCCGCTACCCGCAGATGGTGGTGACTGATCCGCAATCGACATTGACTGCTTACCACGTCTCTGATTAGCAGCCGTACTAAGAGCTCCGGCTCGCCTTCGCTTGCTTGGCGGGGGAAGTGACCTGCAGTGAGGACGATTGAAGCTTTGGTGAGGATACAGATCTGCTCGAAGATGATGCTTTAAAGGAGCGCTGCTGCAGCCGAAACCTTCTTATCGCTCTCTTCGTTGTCGAACATGTATGACAACCCTGAGCGAAGCCATGGTGGAGACGAGTCAAGCTTTCAAACGCTGTCCGGCCAACGAGCCAATACTCAAATTGAGTAGGGAGTCGTCACTTACGTCTTGCAAGTCTACAAAATTACGACCCCGCTTTCCTAGTGTGCCGAAGGATTGTACGCGACCAGTGAGAATTGGAACGAGAGCAAGGGTTGTAATAGACTGGAATGAAGTGGCTTCAAAAGAAATACTCAAGGAAACGAGTCAACCGTAGAAACTGAGCCCTTCAATTCGTCACTGACGTATGTCTCGAGTGTTTATGAGTAGACGAGGGTTTGTCGAAGCAACGGTCCGCTTTCTTCAAGGTTACCACATCAAATTTTGAGAACAAGCTCACCGCCAACAGCTGACGGCCCGACGTGCTTCTTGGCAGCCGCCGTTTGGTAATCAGCATACTTTATAGTCATTCCGGCAGTCACCCGGCCGCTCATCTGCGAGAAGAATCAAAAAGGTTCCGTCGAGAAGGTTCCGAGTGACGGTGAAAGCTTCACCTTGCAATATGTCTTCGATTGATCCGGTTCTGCGCGTCCGCAAATGCTGGTCAATGCAGTAACCAACAAGAATGTGCCTCATGTGCTTGATCAGGTGATCAACAGGTAGTCACTCGATGCTGCTCAAGATGATCACCTTACGGGGCTCAACGTGCTTTTTCTTCCATTTTCTTCGCTGCATGTGCACAATCGTGAGTGACTCTCCAGAACACATGCGGTTCACCTTATTGAAGCATCGTTTCGCTCCAGTCGGGCAGAACTTCCGCTCTTGGATCGACTCAGTTGACCAGCATTCAAATTTTTGTTCCTGGCTTGAGACGCCTCACGAGTCACCCTCATGAGAGACTCGCAACAAGCGATTGACCCTACAATGAAAGGCCCGAGTCTTACCTTTGCGGTCTCAGTTCCATGTTCTCTTTGTCCGTACGGCTGGGGCTCATTGCAGTTGGCTGCGGGCAGACTGCACAGAGTCAATGGTGTGCGAGCACTGATGCTCTTGGTCGGAAAAGAGATGCTTCTGATGCATGTTGGATCAAAGCACTGTCAATGGCACCAAGGCCAAAAGATTAGAAAACGAGAGCTGGTGCGTGCCCATCTTGCAAAGAAACGCAACGTGTCCGCCTTTTTTTGCGGTTTGCAAAATATATACCACCAAACGAGCGACCAACCCAGACAAATTTCACACCCAAGTATTTGTAACTCGGTCGTTCTATTGCTATTCGACCAGATCCGTGAATGAAGCCTCACAACAATTCCTCATTCCGTCAGAGATTCACAAGCTTACCATGGCGCTCTGAGATTGCAATGGAACCGTCTCAGGTCCTCTCCTCCAGCTTTCGTGTCCTCGCTTTTGAGTGTGCCCTGCAAAGAAAATTCTTACATGTTTTGTTGAAAGGTGGCCTCCCAGCTTCTAAGCAGGGACCTGTATTCAAACAGCCAAGCTCTGAATCTACATCGTGAGGGTGTGCTCGTCCGGGTAATGCTGTTCGTACGCACGAGGCCTAGTCAAGTCGCAAAAGATCTGTCCATCCGACCAACCGGTACGCGGGGCGGATGTCAGATCACAGCAGGAACCTGCCTGAAGGTACAGAAACAAGCATTCTCAATGCTTCTTTTATACGCGATGCTTATGGGCTGTCCTTTCGTAGCTCGTTTGCTTTCAAGAGACTCCTAAACTCGAATACAGTGCAAAGACTGTTCTTTTGTGTTCGACCTGACACACGGACAGGGAAGCGCGGCCAGAGCTGCTAGCAGCAGTGCTTAGCAGCATTTACTTACTTTGTGGGACTTCTGCGAAGACCTGCTACACGCATCTCAATCATCATCAGCAGTCCAAATGGGCATTCCCTTTCGCCTCTAATCGCTTGTTGATTTGAGCTCTACTGTTTACACTGGCTTGCATGAGAACCAGCGTAAGGATATG